ATGAAAATTTTAAATTTAAATGAAAACTAAATTAAAAAAAAAAGAAAACTATCAGCAAACTTTGTAGAAGAAAAAAAATAATAATAAGTAAAATTGCTAACTTATCTTGTTTGCAGTTGTTAGATTTAGTGTGGTTCTCCTACAGAAATATTAACAATAAAAACCATGGAATCAAGGCAAATTTGTTATGATATATATAATTCTTTTGTTTATAGGTTTGTACCAAAAACTAATTGCAGGACCCAATTTTATAAAAACCTGGATAATCTATCAAATTCTTTATTTTATATATATATATATATATATATATATATATATATATATATATATAAATATATATATATATATATATATATATATATATATATATATATATATATATATATATATATATATATATATATATATATATATATACATATATGTATATAAATATATATATATATATATATATATATATATATATATATATATATATATATATATATATATATATATATATATATATATATATATATATATATATAATCATCAGATGTTGTTCTTGCTACCCTAAGAGATGAAATTCTTGATAAATTCTCCATAAATATTACAAAATCATTAGTATCAGGATTTCTTTTTGTGCTTGAGAGACAGCTGCAAAAGCATTTAATAGGTAATCTTAATAATGCTACTTCTGAAGTTTTACCAAATGCTTCTTCAGCCCCTGTGCATAATATGCACAGTGAGGGAGTTTTAGGTATAGTTGATGCTCAAAACAAAAAGGCAAAAGTGAGTTGGTGCTCAAAACAAAATGCAACTGCAAAAAACAGCTCAGAAAAAAGACAAATTGAAAAAAAAAAATGGAAAAATCAATCAATACAGATCTTAATAAAAATCTTAAACTTGTAGCTCTATCAGTTCTTTTAGAGGAAATTTTGTGTTAGCTGTTCTAAACAAAAATACCGACATTTAAGGGGTAAATATCAGTCAAATTTTGGAGGTGGATGGAAAAGATATTACATTTTTTTGATTCCTTTTATGTATCTTTTTTTAAAAAAATTATTAGATTTTGTAAATATTTTGTACATTGATAATAGTATAACAAACTTTAATAATAAAGAGAGAATTTCTCACTGACATTGTTCTTGGGTTTGTGAGTTTTCTAGCTATGTTATAGTATACCACAAAGCATTTTTATAAAGTACTTTTTAACATTGTTTCAAACTATATGGTCACTGATTCATAAAAAGGGTGTTTTTGTTTCTCAACCTTTTAAAAGGTATCAATTTGTAGTTTGTTTTTTTATGTTTATCAATGTTTATTTATGTGTCTATTATGTCTACCAATTTCATGTTGTTTGTTGAAACTATTTCATAGAATATTTTAACCCTCTATATCTCTTTTATTTGTTAAACAAAAGTTTTTATTTTTATGTTGTTTACTTTTTAATTCTCTAAAATATATATATATATATATATATATATATATATATATATATATATATATATATATATATATATATATATATATATATATATATATATATATATATATATATATTCAATTATAACCCTAGTCAACAATGATAATTCTTTTCAATCAACTGGTTATCAAGTAGCTAGAGTTAAGCATAATAACAAAAAGTAAGCATAATGACAATAAGCTAAATGAACAGGTTAAAGATGAAGTGCAAAATCCTATGGCTTAGCTTCTCAGTGGTGCACTTTGTTAAGTAAATTAGACAATTATTTGTCTAATTTATGAACTGAATAGGCAGGGCAAATTTACTGACAGTTTTAGTATTTATTCTTACATATACTCATGTAAAAAACAAGATATAAAATTAAAAAATTATTAATTTGATAAATAAAGTTTTTTTCTTTAACTAAATGATTTATATTTCTGGTTTAAAAAAGTTAAATATGGGGTAGTGAGAGTTTACCTCCAAAATATTTCCCGAAATAGAATATTTCTCTCCCGTTGACCATTTAAGACACTAAATGTTAAGAAAATTTTTGAAAATTAAATTTGCTAATATTAGACAATTTATAAACAAATTTATTTATGCCGCGGTTCAGAAGTTTATTTATCTTAACTTTAACATTTTGAAATCACGCTTCTCAAAATTTAAGCAAACGTGTTTTTTTAACGTTGTTTTTAAAAGCGCGTATTTTTTCAATTTTTATACCATTAACGATTTTTGTTTTGGTTCTTTAAAACTGAATAACTTTTTTTCTTTTCATGATATAATCATAATAAAACCATCTTTAGAAAGATAATATTAGGCTTTATTTATCTTGGTAATTTTTTTAACATAAAGTTCAGTTTGAAATTTTGATCGAAGTGCCTATTTACAGTTTATTTTATTCATTTTTGTATAACGTATTTTTTTTTTTTAAATTTTACTATATTCTGTGAACGATTATATTATATATTACGAATTTATAAAGATTAAAGAACAAAAAATTAATACAAAAAAAAAAGTTGCACCTTCTAACATCGAGTGCAATTCCTGTCCGCTTTCTCTATGCTATCTTTCTAATACGAGTACTTCTATCTATAGCTCTATTATATCTTCGTTCTTCCTAAACTTACTTTACTCCCGGTCCGTAGACCAGGTTATGACGCTCCTTGAGGAGCCGAACTTGTCTTTGCAGGCCTGGGTAATGTAGTCTCTGATTGGCAACTAGCCGGAGGAGGATAAACCACAATCACCCCCAATTTTTTTTTTACACTCCGGGCGTCGTCTTTGAAACCCAGAAATATGTGTGGCTATACAAATTAAACTAAACATAGGTTTATATATATATATATATATATATATATATATATATATATATATATATATATATATATATATATATATATATATATATATATATATATATATATATATATATATATATATATATATATATATATTTATATATATACATACATATAATTGTTTTTATAATTTTTGTTTTAGGTGCCCCTAGAAGACTTGACGGTCTTGTCATTGAGCACTGAAGAAGAGCACATAACTAGGCAGTGCATGCCTCCTTCCCTACAGACGGCGCTAAATATGCCGAGAGTCTCCTTCGAAACTTATATCTTTTGCTTCTAAAGCAAGCCTTATAACCACTATGATCGTGGTGAAGATCGAGGAAGCATGCTCTGGGCATGTTAACATTCAGGATTTAGAGAAGAAGAAGATGCACAAAAGTTTTTAGATCTACTTACTAAATAATATAAAAGCATTCAATACACAATGGAATTTACGGACATTTCATTTACTAGCCACAAAACAATCGCATAGTTTTTAAAAATATCGCATAAATGCAATCATAAACGTTCAAATAAAAAAAGTTAAAGATATTGCTACGTAACAATGAATACTGAACTGAAAAACTTTAATTTATGGTTTAGAGCAAATAATCCTTAAACTGTGAAAAAACTAACTACATCTTATTTCATAAAACAGGTCAATCAATGTCTCTACAGTTAAAAATTCCAGAGTTGCTCATTAACAACATAACAATAAAACGGGAAAACTATGCAAAGTTTCATGGTGTTCAAATTGATGAAAATTTATCATCGAGAAGTCATATCGGATACATTGAATCAAAAATATCATCTGCAATAGGTATGTTATGTCGCCCGTTTTTTGATTTCTGTTCAAAAAAAAAACTTTACTTTAGTCTGATTCACAGTCATCTCACATATGCTAATATAGTGTGGGCTAATATACACAAAACAAAATTAATCAAACTACAAGGCTTACAAAACCATGCTTGTAAAGCGATTCATTATCTAGGTAGAATGGACAATTCTTCCAATGCGATGACATATATGAAAGTAATAAACTTGGAAAAACTTAATTTATATCAGATTCTTATTTTTATGTTCAATTATAAAAATAATATGCTACCAAATTCTTTTTAGACATATTTTCGTCATCATTTTCTCAAAGTAATAATCTGCAATCAAATAACTTCCATAACTATTATATTAAAAAACTATAACCCCGGGTTCTGAATTTTCAATTATGTCACAGGGTTCCAAAATATAGAAAAACTTTAAATTAAATAAAAAAATTATAAAAGTAAAAGAAAAATAAAAATAAAAAAATAAAGATAATAATAAAAAATAAAAAAAATAAAATAATAATATATGCCAAACAGGAGTTAATATATATAGAATAATATATGCGAATCAAGGTATAGAGAAAAATTTTAGCAAATGCTATGGATATTTTAAAATTTTTCTTCATAAGAAATTATTTTATAAATGAAACCCACAAGTAGTTCAAAAGAACAAAGTTTATAAAATTTTGCATTATATAAAATCATTAGCTTTGCGCAGTGGCATTACCATAGACAATGAGGTTAAACCGAGTCGTGGTTATTGCTAGTTGAAAACTTTTCCCAATACCCCGCTAGACGACGTGAAATACCGTCGGCTACGCAATTTTTAACGGTCCACTAGTGGACCTTCTCTGAGAGAAAAAAAAACATGTTATAAGAAGTGTTTTAGTTATAAAAACTGCGGTGTTGCCTTTGCTCACTAGGAAATTTTGTAAATTTCATTCTGTACTGATTGTGATGCGCAAACTTAATGAAGTAATTAAACTGTCTCTCAAATTAAACACTCTGTCGTCAAGAATTTCCCTTGATAATACTATGGAAAACACTTGAATGATGTTACTGAGGCAGTTTGCACGTCATAAATGTCAATCAAATCCTTTTAAAAATTCTCATAACGGAAATGTTATTGCTAAATACTATAATGTGTAATTTTTATTTTTATATGATTTTTAATAAAATTTAATGGAATCAAATTTATTTTTTAGGAGTTAACATATTTTATGTTAACTCCTAAAAAATTACGTGATGAGTAATTCTCATGTTACGTGTGTGATTCTGGTATAAATATTTTCCAATATAAGGGATTATAAATAAAATTTACTACATATATGCAAGATTCATATTGCAATTATTATATATAAGATATATGGAGATATGAGTACCTCATATTAATTAATATTTCTAATAATAATATATGTTAGTAAGCTTCTTAAAAAATGTATTCTAGAGTGTACTCTTTTCTAAACTCTTTTAACTGTTTAAATTAGTTTCAATTTGGTTTTCGATCAAAACATTCTACCTGCCATGCACTGATAGGTATAACTCAAAAAATTATAAAAGCTCTTGATACTGGTCATTTTGCTTGTGGTGTTTTTATCGATTTACAAAAAGCTTTCAATACTGTTGATCAGCATTTTGATTATTAGCATTTTGATTATTAAGTTAGAACATTATGGAATTCGTGGAGTTGTAAATGATTGGTTTTGATCTTATCTTTTGGACTGGAAGCAATATGTAAGTATTAATAGTTATAATTCTAGTAACAAACGTGTTACATGTGGTGTTCCTCAAGGTTCTGTTCTTGGTCCTCTTTTATTTTTAATTTACATTAATGATCTAAATAACTCTGGTCACTTCTCATTGGTTCATCTGTTTGCAGACAATACCAATCTCTTGCATGTCAACAAATCATACTATTCTCTATGTAAAAATATAAATTTAGATCTCAAAGTTATAGTTCATTGGTTAAATGCCAACCTATTATGTCTTAACACCGAAAAGACTGAACTAATTTTTTTTTCATCTCCTAGAAAAAACTGTAACAACAACAGGAAAAACTGTAACAACGTTGAAATTAAAATCAAAACAAATAATAAACAACTATATTCCTCGAGAGTTATTAAATATCTTGGTGTGTTAATTGATTGCAATCTTTCGTGGAACTTTCATATCGATGAGCTGCGCAAGAAACTTAATGGTGCAAATGGTATGCTTTCAGTAATTTGATATTATGTCAATAAGTTATTCTTTTAAATATTTACTATGCGTTATTTTCATCTCATCTTAGTTATTGTTGTCAAGTTTGAGGTCAAACTGGCAACTATCATATTAACAAACTAATGTCATCTCAACGCCAATTCATTAGAATAATAAACTTTCAACCTTTCAAATCATATACATCAGATTCTTTTAAAAAACTTAAAATTCCAACCTTTCATTTGCTAGTAAAGTTTGCTAATCTTTTTCTTGTTTTTAACTCTCTAAATAAAAATTTACCTTCTTCTATCGCAATTTTTTTTATAGAAAGTAGACTAATTCATACACACTCTACGCAAAATATAAATAATGGTAAACTTATTGTACCATCATATAAAACTCAAAATTGTGGTAAGAATTCTGTTGTGTATCGGTGCATCTGTTAATGGAACTAGAGTCTTGTGTGTATTTCTGAATGAGTTCAATAAACTCCAACTCCAAACTCCTTTGTCATCTTTTCTTAATCTTAATCAAAATCAATTAAAAAAAATTCTGAAAAATATTTTGTTATAATTTTTTTCTATTACTATAATAATTATCCTTATTTTTTTGTTTGTTTTTCTTTTCTCTTTTATTATTACCTACATATATGATTTTAAAAAAGTTTACTTTATGTGTGTGTATGTTTTATGTTTTATGCCTATATGTTTATTATTAGTCATATTATTTTGAAAAATGGTGTCACTCCTTTGATCGGACTTCTGCATGAGTGACACCATCCATACTAATAATTAACTTATTATAATAAGAAATAACATATCATTTTACTTATTACTATTATAGTAATTATTATTATTTATAATTTTTTTTTTTGTTATTATTATTATTATTGTTATAAATTAATACTATTGCTTATTATTTAATAATTATTATTGTTATTTTTATTTACCTTATTATTGTAAAAATAATTTTAAAATGGAATTAAATAGCTTGTTGTTGTTAATTAAAGAACTGATTAATAAATGTTTTGTGTGACGCGTACTTGGCCATGATTGGTATAATGATTTTTTTATGTTGCAGATAAGATATATTTTCATTTGTCATAATGAAAAATAGATAAAAAAATTTAGAGTTACATGAGTGACACGTTTGTTAATTTTAAAGCAAAGTTTTTTATTCATATTTTATTAACATAACACATATACTGAAGTAAAGATTGAACAGAGTAGCACTTTTGTTTTATAGTTTTTAAAAGTTTCAACTTTTCAAGATTTATTTTACCAGGATGTATAGTAACATTGTTCTGCACAAAGTACCAATCATAATTAGCCATTTCTGGAGATTGGTCTATTATTTTGGGTGCTTGTATGTCATTAATATACTTTATTTGAAAATCAGGTAATGTTTAGTCACTTTTTTTGAAAAATGACAATCATTCGTTTGAAGCATTAACTTGGATTTTCCATATTCCTAGTTTATTTTGACTTCCAAACAAAATGTTTTGTTGTCTATTTTACTACTGATGTCATCATTGCTTACCTAGAGAATAGAAGTAGCTGTCATTAAGGGTTTTAAAAAATCCATAGACATCTGTAAACACACTTTCTCATTTGATTTGCTCATACATTTCATTTGAAGAAGAGTAGTGGCTTCTCCTCCAACACCTCTTTCCATGGAAAATTGAAAAATATTTTTGTTCAAATAGTTTCATCAGCAATTATTTTTTAAAATGAAGATGAGTGAAGATCAATAAGTATTTCATATAATTTCTCAATAAAGAAACACTTTTTTAACTAACTTTATCAACACTGTTTTTATTTAACTTTACAAGATAAATTAAGTGTAACCTACAAAGCTTATTTAATCACCACAAACTTTAGCTGATGCATAGTGCATTAAGTAATAAGCAATTATTTTCCAGCAGTTGTCACACTGATTTGCAAGTATATTTTGTAAAAGAAGTATATTTTTAGACCTCAGTTTACAAAACGTGGGGAAGGGCATTAGCTTTCTATACGGTGATTGAAAAAGTGGGTGAGCCTTTCTCAAAAACATCGTTAAAAGTATTTTCTCAACTTCTTTATCTTTCCACATTTATACACTGTTATTATATGTTTAAGACTAGGTATCATGTAGGCAATGTCTGTTTTGTAATGAAAATCAATTACTGACTTCTTTTTGTTAATAGCACGTGATTATTTATTGCTTGTTTTTTTTCGATTTTTTTTTATAGAGATATCGGTTTGCACAGATTTTGATAAAATGTTTCCAAAGTTTTGACTGCATTGGTAAGGACTGCAATTGTTTGAACTCAAAGCTATTAGTTTATTTAGTTGGTCTTTAATTTTTTGTCTACTTTTTGTTTTTCACTTTATTTTATTTTTTTCTTTAAATGAAACTTTTTCTGTACTATTCATTTTAACAAATTTCAATTTTTTCAGTTTCTTAATGCTTTTATTTTCTTTAGTGCAATATTCTTTGTCAGCTTTTGCAAGTCTTTCTCTGATATTTTTTATTTTATACTTTCAAGTTTGCTTAAAAAATATTGACTTATTGTGTCACATTTTGCATCTGGTATTGTGTTATTAGTTTTAGGATTATTCAAATGAATTCCTTGACAATATTCTGTGCTTCTTTTTAATTACCATGTGGTGAGTGAAGTTTTTTTTTATAATAATTACATCTGAATTGGTGAATTGCTTTAATTACCTCCCAACATGCATTGAAATATAGTTTTTAATCTGATAAATTACCATTTTTTCTAAAATAGCGATCCAGTTTACAATGGAGGCTTTTTTCAATCTTTGCATCTGAAGATAATTATTTACTATTATGTCTGCTAAGTCTTCTTGAGTATTTTTGAATTTGTGCTAAATTATCAAGAACAGTTGTTATATTTGTTCAGCATAATCATCCACAATTATTTCTGGTAATAAACACATGGCATCACTTGCATTTCTACAATAAAACATAATAAGTTAAGTTTTTTAAAATTTTGTTTTAAAAACCAAACAGTTTGGCTTTTTAAAGGTTGATGTTAGAGTTCTACCCAGACTAAATAATGGTCCGAAATGATACTTAAGTATTGTTGAGTGAAATATTATTATGGCAGTTTATCACTAGATTAAGCAGGTTAGCAACCCAGAAGTTGATGATATGCGAGTTAAAGATTGAACTTGTTGTATCATGCTGTAGGTCTCTAGAGCATTAGCAAGTTTTGGATTAATAGTTGTTGGAACGGTACCTAGTCAGTTAGAGTTGCCGCACAGAAGCATTTCACCAGACAATGTTTGAGGTTCTTCTAAAAAATCAGAGAATTCCAAAAAGATAATGCTAGTCGGCATAGTTAGATATGATCAATTAATAGCTACAATATTGTAAATAGTGTTTACTAAATTTAATTTAGCTAATATGCATTCATAGGACAGACAAGTAGATGATAATGATAAGGGTTTAAGTTGTCTCAAAATATTATTGCAATGCTTCCCTTATGGTAGTCAGATTGGCTGTGTTGAATTCTTTTGAAACCTGGTGGTATCATATCTTCTTGAATTGCAACAGGTTTGCAACAGGTTTGTCTGGTTTTATTTTAGTTTCAATCACTATAAAAATATCTGATGATTGATTTTGTATAATGGTAGATTTCTTTATAGCCAATCAAACATTTTAGATATTGTGTAGAAGGTTATGAAGTGGTTCTTTTAATTAGGCATGGTACCCTTGCCTATCATTTGTTCCTGCAATTTTGTAAATTAGTGCCTATTTCTAGTGTTTTGAACTTACTGAGTTCGCTATCAAACAATCTCTCATTTTATGTTTTATATTTGTTAATAAAAATATTTTTATAATTGATATTATTCTAAACTTTATCTTTTTGGAATTTATTACCATAAAATTTTTTGTTTCTTTGTTTTTGAATTCAACATGCGGTAGTGGTGTAGTGGTAGACCACTTGCCTCATAAGTGAGAAGTTCTGAGTTCGATCCCTACCATGTCCCTGGTAGTACTGTGCTCAACTTGTTTCTCTGTGCAGCCACCTTGTTTCAGAGTTATAGAGTTAAGAGAGGGTTGTAACCATAACTAAAAGTAATCTCCTTGATCGTTGTGGCTTTTATGGCCTTGGGGAGGTGAATAGAAATATAAAAAAAAAAAAGAGGTTAGGCGGTCTTTCTTTTCTTTTGGTATGTTTTTATAATCAAATTATTCATTTTGCATTTTTATTGAAAAGTCAAGCCTAATTGCTTTTAGTATAGTTTCAATAGTTTGTTTATTATTTTCTTTGTTTATTTGTTTGTCCATTTTGGTTTGATCAGCAACTTCTATTAAATCAAAACCTCTTTTGGGAAAAAGAATATTATTTTATAATAGGAATATATTTTATTAACTGTAGAAATAGGTATCAATACTTTTTGGTACACTTTACTAAAACTTCTAAATGGGCTTTGAAATGAAAATTTAGTTTGTTTTTTGTAAAATATCCAAAAAAATTGTACAAATAGTGTGTTTGAAAAAATAGCTAGAAATATAGCTAAAAATATTTGGTTTTACTAATTTAAGAATTGCCATTATATGTTCAAGACCTATTGAAATCACTTACCATTGTTTTTTCATTACTATCTGAAAGCAAGATTTTAAGTTTTACCTTTTTTATCGTTATCATTAGGAACATAAAATCAATCATAAAAATATATTTTACAGCAACATAAAACTGTTTTTGTTTATAATTATTTCATAATTATTTCATATAATTATTTCAGATTTTTTCAGAATTTCAGAATTTTCAGAATTTCAGATAATTATTTCAGAGATATATATTTTACTGTAGTCATTTCATTTACTATTTTTGAACTATGGAAGAGTTATTTGCAACAATATTATCAATGATAATAAAATTATATAATTAGGAATTTCAAGAAATATATGATTATTCAAATTAAAGTTTTTTTTTGACAGTATAATTACATAATAGAGATTATTGAAGAAGAAAAGAGTATAGATTACATTTGTAAATAGCTATTCGGAGAGAGCAATGTTAATAAGTTTTTAAAAGTGACCTGAAATTGGTGATCAAAGCTTGGTTATTATGCATGTTTTAAAAGAAGCAAATAGGTGAGTGTTTTTAAGTTAAATTGAATAAATTGTTAAACTCTCCTTTCTTACTCTATTGTGTGTGATAATGAGACACTTTTTGTTATTTGAGTTTTTTGTTATTAAGATATTGAATATGTTAATAATATTTATTAGCTTAATAAAAAAGAACATTTAACTTAATGGAAACATATAACAACAAAATTTTAATACTATGTTTTAGTTGTATAAAAATAAATTTTGTTGTAATGTATTTCTGTTTTTATAAATATTTTGTTGTTATGTAATTCATTTCTATAAAAATCAAAAAAAAACAACAACAAATTGTTGATTTTTTTTTGTTTATTTGAGATTTTAGTGCAAATTTAATATTAGCATAATATTATCATTAATTGACATTCCTACTAATAAGTTGTCCAATAACTTACAGGAATCTGCCTGGCCCAGCTAAGTATTAAGTATTTTGTATCCTAGAAATTTAATGTTTCTTTTGTCAACTTAGCTAGTCAATGTCTTGATGTTTTCTTGCAAAAGTGGGAAAGTGGTAACTAGTTCTTGATTTTCTTTTGTGTGTAGAACTGCTATCCCTCTGCCAAAACCAACAGAAATCACCCATCATAGCGGGACTATATTTCCATGGATATCACTGTTCCATCACTGAAATGTCCTGATAAAAAATCTCCTTGCTCATTGCTTATGTCACCTAAATTGTCAGGAGATAAGTCAATATGAGAATACATGAAATGCATCTTAAGAGATTTTGTTTGAATTGCCTCATTGTCCTTTATAAGTTTTTTGACCAGTTTTTTTTTAGTTGTCCAATTTTCTGTTTTCAAGAAACTCATCAAGGCAACCTTAAATGAGTTCCAAGCTATTCGTCGCAAATCATTCAGCTTTGATGTAAATATGGAGTCATTCATAATATATATTATAACATGCCTAATTTGAGGTCCTATAAAGACTTCTTTTATGATTTTGGCATTGGTAAACTATTGCTGACCTCATTTTTCCTAATTCCAACCCTCCCAATTAGAAAAAATGGGGTCGGCAATAGTTTTCTGACCTCAATATTTTAGAGGTTGGTAAAAAAAATTCGATACCAAGGTCTTACCATAAAACATAGAAATGAGGTTAGCAATTTCTCGCCGACCTCAAACACTTTTAGGTCAACATTGCTGAATGCCGACCCATTTCTGAGGGATGCTCAACCTTAGAAACGTCTCTTTGAGGTACTGAAAGGCATCTGAGTTGCCTTTAAGTGCTTTCACAAAGTTTCATCAATCACAAATTGATATAATAAGGTAGGAGGTAAATTTTGTCTGGCTGTGCTAGTGGACTGTGCTTCACATTGTGTTTTCCTATTCAAGACATATTCAGATCTCTCTGGCCACTGCTTCTTGTAATAATGCTGCTTATAAGCATGGTTATCCCACAAGCACAGGAAGCAGCAGTACTTTGCATAATCACTTTGCATGCCCATCACTAGTCCAATAACTTTAAAGTCAGCACAAATATTCAAGACAAATTTTTTATAATTGATTAATGCAAAAAAAACTTTCATACTCATATGATTTTTTCATATCTGCAGCATAGAACATTGGCACTGAAGGCATTGAGTTGCAATTGAAAAAAAAATCTTAAGAGTCACTTTGAAACATCTATAAACAGATGCCATTCATGAGCTTTGTGATGACAGCCAAGCTCATTCAGAAGACCTTCTATATCTTATAAATTCAAATCTGGAATAATTTTTGGCCTGCGACAGCAAATTTGGTTAGAAAGTTATTTTTTTCAAAATGCCAAAAAATTATTTTTTTCAAAAATTTGTGAAAAAATATTTTTTTGCAAATATATGCGTGTAATATATATTATTTGCAGAATGATATATTACAATGAAATATTATTGTTTTCTTAGGTGCTGGATCCAAATATTACAGAAAATGGTACGTTAAATATCATTTTAGGTCAGGAACATGTGTTTACGGTCCAAAAGTATCACAGAAATTAATGGAAAATGTTTAAAACCTAACTCGCGAAATTGTGGGATTAGTGTATCGAGTAGAACTGGTATTCATCTGTAAATTTAAGCTGAAGAGTGGTGCACATTTAATTGGTTCAATGAGACCTAGTTAATAAGTTTTCTCATATAGTGGTGCACGCAAAATAGTTGCACAGGAAGATACCAAAGATATCAAATAGTTTGTTATTTGTCTCTTATCATCTGGTTGTGTTGGAAGATGTATCTTACTTCAATCTCCAGATAGTGGCAATTTGTCTTCTTAATAAAGATGCTAGTGATGTTGTTACTGTTGGCTTAGACGATATGACCAAAGCTGTCAGCCACAAGTTGTACGATATCAAGGTGGTAACTACAATACACACTCTTGGACCAATTGCCATAGCCAAGTTACTATTGCCAAGTCCCTGGTAGTACTGTGTTTAAAATGTTTCTCTGCGCAGCAGCCTTGCTTTTTAAGGTTCGTGTTTCGGAGTTGGGGAGGTGAATTAACAAAAAAAAAAGTCATGCTAGTCTCTCCGTACCCATATACACCAAATACAAAGGCTAGATGGATCTTCTAAAAATAAACCTTGCAGATTCAGAGGTTTTGCTGAAATAGTGAAAGAGTTCATAACCAGGAGACAATCAATCCAAGACTTTTTTAAAGTGACTGTGGACAAAAACCCGAACAAACTTGTACTAACCGTATCAGTTTATATACAGAACGAATAATTCATTCTTTGTTCAGAAGTGTATATCGAAGTAGGCAAGATGATTTCTACCATCTCGTGTTTTTCCAAGTAACTCCTACAATGGAATTGAATAAATGAAATTAAAAAAACAAAAGGTCTTTGAACAGACAAAAACAAAACAAAAGGTCTTTGAACAGACAAAACTTGGTTTGTCTGTTCTTCTCTTTATACAAGATAAGAGCATATAAAACTCTTGGTTTGTTTGCTCTTCGGTTTCAAGAGAAGAACAGACAAATCAAGAACTACTAAATATGATTCAATTGGAGCGGTGTGCAAAAATTTTACAAAGAAAAACTCACAACAAAAAATCACAACTGAAAAAACTAGTAGCAATGGTGACTTAACTGCAGCAGCAAGCTAACAGCAAGAAGTTTCTTCTTCTACAGTTAAAGTCAGTGTTGCTTCTAGCTTCTTTCAGTTTTAGTAATGTTTCTTTGAATAACTCCAGCACATCGCTCCAGCTTGAATCATATTTAGTAATTCTTGCTTTTTTTGTTCTTCTCTTGTAAAGATAAACAGATAAATTGAGTTTTGTCTGTTCTCCTCTTTACAAAGATCTCTGGTTTCTCTTAGTAATACACTACACCAAGGTATACACTTCTGAACAGAGAATGAACTAATCGTTCTGTATAATAACTGATACAGTTAGTACATGTTTGTTTAAGTTTTTGTCCACAATCGCTTCAAAAAAGTTGTGGATTGATTATCTCCTGGTAACGAACTCTTTCACTATATCAGCAATGCGCCCAAAGCAATTGGAAACAAAATCTCTGAATCTGCAATGTTTAATTTTTCAAAGGTTCATTCAGCCTTTGTATTCTATATATAAAGGTACGGAGTGACTAGCATGACTAACAAGAGTAACTTGGCTATGGCAAATTGTCCAAGTGTGTATTAAAGTTGCCGCCTTGATGTTGTACAACTTGTGGTCAGCAGCTTTAGTCATATCATTTAAGCCAACAGTAACAATACCTTTAGTGTCTTTATTAAGAAGGCAATTTGCTGTTATCTGGAGATTGAGGTAAGATGCGTTTCAAATACAATCTATAGTCCTCCCAGAGGGGAAAATGTAGGTGATATCTCTAGTAGAATGACACCTTTACAGGTTGTCAGCAACTGTGCACTTTTCCAGTTCATTTGAGTCTGACTGAGAATCACTCAATTCTTCATCTTACCAACTATGTCACTGTGACTGACTTTGTGGTCATACAAGCATTGGATTGCGCAGCTTATTATACGTTGGTCCAAACATTTATGACTAGTTCTTACCTGAATCTTTAGTTACATGTCTCCTGGACTAGTAGGGTTGTTTCTCCAACTTGAAGACATTGTTTCTGGCATGATTAAAGTGCAGCAATGAAGTCTTGATCTTCGTCTTCCAAGTTGGTTCCTTGAACATCATCTGTGTTTAGGGCATCCATATACGCAGACTTCTGCATGCTTTTTCCTGCTTACTGGTTTCCTGCATAGCCTTCCATTTTTTCGCACTTGACTAATGTCTTTCCTTTTTTCTTTTTACCTGGTTTTTTCCATTTCCGTGAAACTGTTGATGTACAAATTGCCAAGAATAACCTATAGCAATTATAATAGAATTCCTTGTTTACCAAGAAAACATATAGAATGATATATGATGCACATATATTTGCGGAAAAATATTTTTTCACCAATTTTTGGCAGCCATTTCGAAAAAAAGCAAATTTCCAACTGAAATTTTTGTCGCAGGCCATAAGTTCTTCCAGTTCGAATTCAGCGTCATATTTTGCCTTAGAAGCAGCTTGTTATAGGAAAATATTTAGATTTGCCCCACCCTATTAATATAATAAAAATATACATAAAATAAAAATATATAATACCTAAGTTATATTAATAAAGTTTCATTATTATTTTACAATTATTTTACATCTTTTGGCTCTTTCATTAAAGGTAATAACTTTAAATAATAATTTAGATTGATTATTGTATTTTTTTAAAATCCACCTTTTAATCTATTTTTAGTTATTTATCTTCTATCCATGTAAGCTACATTTAGAAATACATAAGAAGCATCTCATCATTAAAGGTATTTATAAATCTACAATAACAATACAACTACAATAATATACTTAATAGTATTAGTAGTAGTGCCTATTTGTGCATTTTGACACGGAGCTGGCGGCATCCATTAAATGCGAGGAAAAGTTTTTTAGCATTTTTTACAAGAAAATGCAAACATAATTATGTAACTTATGTACAATGGGCAAAAAAAGAAATAGCATTTTTTTTTTAATTTGTATAAAATGATAAAAAATCGTAGTTAGTTTTTATTTTTTCAGGAAAAAACTATTAATTATTTGATACCATTTAATTGAAGCATAATATTTAAAAGTTGTTAAATATGAGTTCATATGACATTGAAAAATCAACTGTATATATATTCATCAAATATTTTTGCACAAAAAAATAATAATGATACATTTAAGAAGAATTTATAAATTTAGGCAAAAAATTACATTTCATTATATAGTTGGCCACCCTTTGCCAGAATAATTACTTGCTGGTGTCGAGGCATTAATTCCACCAGAGATTTCTTTTCTTCTGTAGTTTTCTCCTATGCTTTGACTATGGCTGCTTTTAGATCATTTTGTCTTCTGTAAGCTCCATCTCATATTTTCTCGTCTAGAATGTACCACGAAACTATTTCCGAATTAAATTTATGAGCAGAAGGCTTCAAATTTTGCTTTAAACTTTCTATATATCAATTGGCTTTCATAATCGATTCAATGAAAGTCAATTTGCCAGCGCCTCACCAAGCCAATGATCCCCACATTATGACATTTCCACCACCATGTTTTCCCTATAACATTTTAAAGTTATGTAACGTCTCAATCGGTTACAATTGGTAACAAGGTTACATTCTGTATTTTTTAATCAAGTATTAAGTAAATAAACTTGATATGGCAGTAATAATTTGTTTATTATTGTCGTATTGCTAAATACTATCTTTTATTTTAATTTTAATTTTATTGTAAAATAGCTTCGTCTCAATTACTTTGTCACGAAAAAAAAATGAAAGCTTTATACGCAACGTTACGGCTCAGTTGTTTTTTTTATATAGCTATATAAAGTGTAACTAATTGAGACGTAACATAACGTAACTCAATCTAGATTTGAGACGTAACTAAAATACGTCTCAAACATATATTAACGTTATGTTACGTCTCAATTAGTTACCCTTTGAAAAAAAAACGTAATGTAACGTAAAAAAAATTATATTTGTAACTTAATTACGTATAAATGTATTTTAATCACGTTTCAATTCTTAAATGTTTTACGTCACGATATGTCTCGGTTGGTTATACTTTTAAGGGTAATAAGTACCTTAGGTTGCCTAAGTACCGTAAGTTATTTTAACTTTTAAATGTACTTTTTTTTTAATTTTAGGTAATCACAACTTTTAAAGCTTTTATACAACTTTTATACAACTTTTAAAGCTTTAAAAGTTGTATTTACCTTTAGGAAGTCTTTTTTAAAAACAAATCCACAAGCGTGGGTTAATTTTTTATTTTTTTTAAATTACAAAAGTTTTAACAAACGTTTTATTACGTTATCAATAATCAAATACATTAATAATCAAATATATAAATATTGTAAATAAAGCAATTAAACTGTTAAATACCGTAACTCTTCAGTTACGATATTTAACAATGCGTTTGTCGAGACATTTGTAACTCAAACATATTTTTTTAAATTATCATCGTTTATAAACTGTAAAATAAAAAGTTTCAATTCGCTAAGTTATTTTGTTGGTCAATAATGCAAGCGTATTATTTTACGTTTTTTTATAAACCCACAAGCAAAAATATATATAAAATCTCAAAATTATAATAAAATTTGTATTTATATAGTCGCAACATTTACCAACATGTATAAACGTATAGGTGTATAACTATATAACTCCTAAACATGTATATAACTCCCAAAAAAAAAAAAAAAAAAAAATAAGTCCTAATATAATATAATATAACTCTTAAATTTGTGTTTATAAGATAGGCCTCGTAAAAGGTCGAAAAATGGCGAAAAGTTATGCTGGTGTTCTATCTTCTTCTTCATCCTCATCAAACGATTCTTATGCAAAAAATAATCTTGGAATTTTTAAATCTAACCTCTCTTATGACAATAGTAATGTTTTGATTTGTAAGTATGGTGATATTAGTTTTAGTGTAAATGATTTTCTCATGGCGTTATCTGAAAAGAAGTTGTTAGCTTTGGTTTGGGGAGTAACTAGGCATTACTCCAACAAACTTTTTGAGTTTGCCGTTATTAACAGCTCCTCATTGGCTTTGTTTTTGGGAGCTGAAATTGAAATTAAAGGTATTCATCTACGGTTCGAAGAAAAATATGTTCGTAAAGTTCATGTACTTGTCCAAAACATACCTATTGGAGTACTTAGAAATGGATGCCAGGGTGCTGTCATTTTGCTAGGCAAACACCTTGCGATTGGTAGAGGAGAATTTGATTCGTTTTATTTGCAAAAGGTTAAAGTTCAGGGCGAAGATATATATACTGGAAATGTTGTTATTATAATAAAGAATTGGAAAAATCCCAGTCAAAACCCTTTACCAAGATATCAAAATGTGGATGGGCAAACACTTCGCTATAAACACCAAGTATAACAAGAAACCAACTTACAAAAACTCAACCCAAACAATATACCCTTAAAAAACAAAACCAGATGAAACAACTAACAACAGCGATAAAAACGAAATCAGCATTGACAATGCAAGTGAAAACATTGATGGCGGCGGTGACAGTGTCGACATCAATGTTGATGTAGAACATAAGAATAACGAAGCTCATTTAAAAATTAAACCAAAAATCACCCAATCAACAAGAAAACGTCTCGGGCAATCAGAAGGCGAAACCCCTAAAAAGGTTATTAACACAACAGATTTTAATCACAAAAATGCGATGGCAAAAGAAGAAGATATTATGCGTCGAGAAAAAGACAAGATTTTTCAAGACGATGAGACCGACAATCTGATTACAGATGAGGAATATGATAGCCAACTTTGTGCGGAAAGGGAATCGTAAGATTTTTTTCTCCCATTATTTTTGTTTTGTCTTAACTTTCTATTTTTCCCTTTTTTTTTTTTTTTTTTTTTTAAATTTGACTTTTTGTTCAAACCTTTCTTTTCTTAAACTTAATTTTTTCTTTCTACAAAAAAATCTTTCTTTCGAGTTTATTTCTGTTCTATTTTTAATTTCTCATTAAAAACGAATGACACATGTTTAATTATGCGCATAAGCTGTCGTAAATCGTATTGTTGTAGTTCGCGCTTTTTTGTAAAATATTATGGTTCAGTGCGTCCATCCGTTCGTATTTTCATCGTCATTTCAATCGAAAACTCGTGTTCTAAGGTTAAGGTAAAAATGTTTGTGTTTTTTATGTCAGGTTGTAAACTTATTATATTTATGTTTAAGCTACTCGAGTTTTTAAATTAGGAAAGCTGATCCTCTCCGTCATGGCTATTAATATTTTAACATGCAACATAAACGGTCTAAACGACCAAACAAAACGCGACAATTTTTTTGGTTTTCTTAAAACCAAAAAAATTGTCGCGTTTTGTTATTTTGGTTTTCTGTAACCGAACTAAAACGGAACACTAACGGTATAATATTAAACGCCATGATAAAAATTGATGAACACGAAATGCAAGTGCTGAACATTTACGCGCCTAATGTGCCGAGAGAAAGGCGTCATTTCTTTAGCGACCTTGGAGATTTCTCGCAGGACACAGGACTACCCGTTCTGATGGCCGGGGATTTCAACATGGTAGAAAGCCTGCCTCTTGACACAGAAGGCTCGAACAATGCAAAATATCACACATACGGCATTGCTGAACTCGGGGTCTTCCAAGGTAAGTATAACCTAGTAGATGTTTTTCGTTGTAAGTTTCCCAACAAAAGAGAATTCACATGGCGCAATCAGACGGTGAAATGTAGACTAGACAGAATCTACTGCCCTGATGAAGTCGCCAAAAAAGCAACATACACCAAAATTCTCACCAACCCTTTTTCCGACCACGAGTTCGTGTCAACAACTGTCAATTTTAGTAAAACTAGGAAAGGACAAGGTTACTGGAAATTAAATTGCTCTCTATTGGAAATAGTAGTGTATAGACAAAAAATTGAACTCCTAATTCAAGATTGGCAAACAAAAAAAAGATCCTACGAGTCTATTTTAAAATGGTGGGACGACTGCAAACTTTTTGTTAGGGCTGAATTACAACACATTTCGATACAGGAAAGTGCGAAAAACAAAAAACAAATCGTAAGGATTGAAAACGAAATCCAACGGGAGCGACAAAACGCTAACCCGAATTTAGGCAGCATCAAACAAAAAAACGATTCTTGCTCCAGTTTCCAGGAGCGTTTATTCGCACGAAGCAAAAACTAATCCAAGAAGGAGAAAAACCTTCAAAATTTTTGTATAATTTGGAAAAATTTCAACAGCGGAACAAGTCAATTACCGAAATTCGCAAGAATGACGGCACATTGACGAGTGAACCTGGTGAAATACTAGACACCCTGTCAACGTATTATAAAAACATTTACACCAAAACAAATTTATGCAAAGACAGCCAAAACTATGTCTTGTCACACATCACTAAACCTTTGAGTGATGATGAAAACCAGTTTTTAAACACCCGCCTAACTGGCGCGGAACTAAAAGAAGCCCTTTTTAAATTTGAAAACGGAAAATCTTCGGGCTATGATGGACTTCCAGCTGAATTTTACAAAACTTTTTGGCACATTTTAGAAAAAGATTTTGAAGAACTTGCCTACGAAATTCTTTTTGTAGAAAAAAATACCAGCCGCTCTATGAAAAAATCAATAATTTCACTGATTCCCAATCAAGGAAATCTTACTAAATGCAAAAATTGAAGGCCCATATCTTTAATCGGCGCTGATTACAAAATAATTACAAAAGCGCTGGCCCTAAGACTTGCAAAAGTAATGGGGAAAATTATAGAACCAAATCAGACTTGCGGAATTCCAGGTAGAAACATTTTTTCAAAT